AATCCTTTCGAAAAAACTTCAACTCTAAATCCGAATTTTATTAGTTAATAATAATTTTATTTAATTATAATTACATATTACGTTATTATTAGTTTTAAAAACCAGCCACTTGGCCCATTTTGCAAACTAATATGTTATAAATTACAAATTACATAATATGTTATTATAAATTATAAAGGACATAATGTATTATAAATATGTTGAAAGCCTAGCTCATCTCATATTCTCGGCACATTTGAGCCTTCGGCCCTCCACAACTCCATCCTCCAAACTCCAACTAAGTAGAAGAGCAACAAATTGGTTCCAACCTCTCTCTCTCTCTCCCTCTCTCTCTCAGTTGACTTCATTCGGAAGTCCTAGTTTTTCAATATTTTTACCCTAAATCCCAAATTTTGAACCAAATCTGATTTTGAAGGTCTTAATGAAGCTTTCACGATTTTACATGCGACTGCGATTAAGGTTTGCTCAGAGCTCATAAGGTATTTATTCCACCTTGGTTTATAAAACATGTGTGTGTGTGTGTGTGTGTTTATAGTTATGGCGATATATATGTTTTCTAATGTGTTTGAGAAGAAGAGAGAGAATTGTTTATAATTTGAAGCTATTTTGGAAAAATTCCAAAACACACACACAAAATTCCTCGCTTTCTGCAACCTCTAGTTGTAGAAGTTTTTTTGCCTATCAAAATCACAAGTTCGAATCGGCCTTCCTTTTATAGTCAACAAGCTTGACTTATAGCTAATTCCATAGAATTGGGCCACCCTCCTGGGATCAAAAGACAACTCTGCCTCCGCTCTAACTCTGATCGACGAAGTCGAAGGTGAAGTTAATGTAGTTCAAAGTCAGAGTTAGAAGCAAAGTCGGAGGACAAAATTCACTCAAACTGAAGTCGAAGTCGAAGTTCGAATACATGCTCACCCTACTTGCAACTTGCACCAAATTGAATAAGCTAACTTTTTTTTGGCATAATCTGAAGTCTCTGCTCATAAATATTTTAAAATAACCACCGGCATAGGTTTCAACATTTCCAAAAATTGATATCTTATAACTACCAATTCTCAAATCCTTGCATAAGCATATATTTTCCTATCTTGTACTTTTTATATCAAGAGGTTATTAAAAAAATTTATCAAAATAATCGAATATGACATTTAAGAACACATGGATCATTTTGATTCATAACTTCGTGGCAATAGCATATCTTGAAAACAATTGTTATGAAAATATCAAAAAAAGGCAAATAGCTATGGGAGAAAACATTTCAAAGAGTTTTGTCGAGAATTTTTATTACTTGTATATGTTTTTTTTCATGTTTTTATACAGGGTGCCAGTGGTTCAGTGATTAAAATTTGACCCAATAATCTTGAGGTCTTGGTTTGGATTAGAGGACGACCACTTAGTGCAAATGATGCAAAAATTAGGACTGCACCCAATCTATTTCTTCCAGACCCTAATCATAGGGATTTATCTGGTTGCCTTTTTAGGTATAATTTATTCCTAGCTCCTTTTGTACAGAATACACATCATGTCTACATGGGTTGCTTTCCCTTTCACAGCTTTACCCTGTATCCATTTTTTATTATGCTCAACTTGAAAAAGGTATTGTTAGAAGGCCCTAATATAATTAAAGCAGGTTGAGTATGGTCTGTTATTCTTCTTTTCTTTATTCAGTTGTGGACCTGTGGTATGGACAGTTTTATTAACATATGATTGTTTATTTTCTTTTATACTACTCTTTTTTAGGAGGAAAGGAGATGCCTTAGCTAATATTTCGTAATTATTAGAAAGAATTTCTCTATTTCCAATCTACTTCTATTAAAGTCCACATTTAGTTAAGCTATTATAGAAATTACAAGGCAAAACATCACAATTACTACTATACTTTTTAAGTGAAAAGTTATTCTTGAACAAAATTCTGCAAACTACCTAACTAGCTTGAAGATAATTCACATTTGGCTCCCTTTCTTAACTCAGTTAACATCATTTATAACAATGAACTTTTCAACAAATTACTACCAAAACTGGACAACAAAGGTGCCAATTGGTAGATAATGATTTCAATATCACAAATGAAGAACTAAGGCAATAGAGACATTAAGACGATAAGAAATCTGGTTGGGAAACAAATTGGATAAACTTTCTGGCCAAAGTCACAAGGACATAACTAGTTTGGAAGTTTTGTAGTGATCCAGTGTATTGAGTATGTTATAATAAAGAATTGTAACTAGACTTGGCTAAAGTATAGCATTAATATTTCATAATTTTTGGGATTTTTTTTGTTAGGCATTGTGAGCATATGTTTGTATACTTTCAAGACTTTACTAGGTCCAAGTTTTCTAGTCAAACACGGACATCAACAATGTAGAGGCGACCAAGTTTTCTTACCCACAAGTGTCCTTGGCTTCTAAGCTATGACACTATATATATCTTTGAATTAGCTTTCTTAAGAGGTAGTGAATGAAACAATCTCGAGGCAATTAATTAAGATTTTTTCACATCTCTTGGTTGTGATCCCTACAACCTAGGTTGATATCTACTGTGGTGACTCTTATTCGTCTAGAGTTGTGAAGCATGGACACGATCACGGGACACGGATACGATACAACACTGACACACAGATACGATATTTTCAAAAAATAGTAGGACACAAACACGTTGGGGACGCTCTACAAATAATTGTGTTTTATATATAAAATTATATAGTTTCTTACAAATATAGTGATAATGATGTTATTTATAAAAAAAATCAGTACTTCATGATAATTAAAAGTTATGTCTAATCATCTAGTGTGCATTTTTAAACTAACATCATAATAGTCAATGATCATTAATTTTTCGTAGACTTGAACCAACCATTTATAAATTTAAATGATTGCTCTTATTTTTTCAATTCCTCCTTTCTAAATCTTTTATGTATTTTTTATTTTTATTACTATATTTTAAGTATAATTTTAACATGTCTAACCTTGGTAATTATATGTTCTCTATTAATATGAGATACTTATTAGTCAATTTTTTAAACTTTGTTAATCACATGCCAACACATGTTTATTGTTTAGTCGTAGACAAATTTTAAAAAAGTATTGGACACATCATCAAAGAAGTGTCAGCCACGTGTCTGAAATTAAATTTTTTTCATTTAATTATAGATACTTGTAAGAGTATCAGACACGTGTCTAGGAGTGTCCGGAGAGTGTGGGTGTCTCACACATGTCACCTTCTTGAGAGTGTCAGTGCTTCATAAGTCTAGAGTGAGTGACTCTTCAACATAAACTTATTTGCTCAGTTACTCCATTATTTCTCTTCTCTGTTATCTTCCACCGTCTATTTCTTGCCTTCATTAACCCCTATTTAAGTGAAGAGAGACATATCTTTGATAAATGTTTTCCAGCTGCAAAGCCAATCCATGAAAGGACTCAAATCAATGGAGCAAGAGCTTATTGGTTCACCAAGACACTACTATAGCTTATTTCTGATCATCTTATCACTGGATGGACAAACTGTGGCTGTCAGGAAACAATTCATCAAATGAACAATAAAGAAAAAAATATAGCAATAATTTTGTAACCAATATGAACTGAGGAAGAAGATTCGCAATTGATGGAGGAAGTAGATTCTTTGAGAAATGTATACCTGCGCACACACCTCATACATTGGAAAATAAAAACATACCCATAAAATGTAGATCTAGACAAAAATAATGCAATTAACAGCAGAGTGTTGCTAATATTTGACTATGATAGACTTTACAGAAAAGAATGAAGTTATCTCCATTTTCACAAAGTGTTAAGGCTTGGTTGGTCATGAGTGGGGATTGTGTATTTTGAGAACATGTAATTATCAGCCATGTCATGTGCAGAAGTTTGTCTCTGTTTCAGTTACTAGGCTTCTAGCATCAGCACGATTTATTTCAATAACACCACCCCTCAGAATAAATGACCAGTAATGAGGGAAACCAAAAAGGCACCAGCATGTAAATAGTCCAAGTGGCGTGTACTCACAGCTTTTTAGAATGTACGATGATGCTTCCACCAGATCCCCCTCCCCCATTAGATCCTCCATCCCCTCCTTCCGCTGTTACAGATCCATTCAAATATAGAGTGTCCTTCACATCAAGCATAACACGTCCACCCCCACTTCCTCCAAACTTATGTTCAGCAGATGTTCCACCACCTTTACTTCCGTAGCTCCATGGTGCAAACAAAGTAGACCAGGCATAAACATCACCACCCCAAAAATTAGTGTGATTAGTTTTTAGACAGGATGCGCCTCGACCACCATGCCCTCCACCAGCTCCATCATGGGTCACTGGCATACCACTAGTCTGAGAAGGTGGTGGTCCACCCAAGGAGGTTGTATTTATATAAGAATTAGCTTCCATAGAAAGATTGGCAGTAGAAAAAACAACAGAACCGGCAACAATAGCTGCATATTTACCCACTTTAACATTGCCAGATAAATTGAAGCTTATTGTACAGCCCTCCATGGGACAAACAATTGAAACATCAGAAAGTATCTCCAGATTTCCAGTACCACATACATAAATATCAGAACTTACATACAGATTTGAGTTCAGCAAGCAAGTGGTGTCAAATGATCCAACACCTTCAAGGTCCTCACAAGATACCGAATCATTCAATGGGCACAAATAAGCTAATCTTTGAACATGGGTAGAGGCGCTAATATCAGAACCATCTCTTGGAACTGATCCAGAGTAGTTAGCTAATCGTAATCCTGAAAAATTGGGGTTACCCCTATACTGCCCTACACTAATAGAAATCACAGACAGAAAAAGGTGTCCCAACAAGATGCACCAGCAAAAGTAACCACCAGCTAGAACCGGATGCATCACCACTCATGAAAAGAAGATTTAGCAAGTTCAGTGCATCAATAAAGAACTGCAATAAATCCTGGGTTGAAAGTCAGCTCAGCAGATTAACCAATCCAGCACTAGTCAGTTGAAAATTAGCTTCAGCGTTCACGAATCCATGCAATCCCTGGAATGTCTGAAACGGGACTTTTATCCAATAAAACAACTCCAACAATCCCATAAACACCGAATATATCCTGCAATTAAAAATACTTTTTGGAAAAATGAGTGACAGAACAAAGAAAGAAGCCTTTGCTTTCTCCTTTTTTTTCATCAATTAGCATTCTACTTCAAATATCATTCCTAGAGACACTTTACTTGGAAGCAGAAAGCAGACAGTGTGAGCTTGGAACACTAACCAAACAGCTTATGAAATACTTTACGATTTGCAAATGTTGCGACACAAAGATCCTACACAAAAAGGAGATCAAGAGACATAATAAATACTTTTCGTTCAAAAATTCGATAACATATAACCATTCAGTTTTCCTCAGGGTTGTTATTATCAAGAAGCAAGGAAGTGAGTATTGTAATGCATAATTTAGAAAACTTCAAGGAGCCCCAAAACCAAATAACCCCCCCCCCCCCCCCCAAAAAAAAAGGAAAAAAAAATAGAAAAGAAACCAACCCATAAACTGTACGCAATTGTGGAAACTAAACGGTCAATTAGTGTCAAACTTTTGTCAAAGGGAACTGACAAAACTCTTTCCAGCATTGCATAAACTCAATAATTGAAAACACATGGTTTATATATCAGAAATTCACTTGTCCATGCACTGCGGATCAAACAATTAAATTTCTCCACAACACACACACACGCACAAAAGCAATCAACTCCAACTCATTTCTCGTCAATGGAAAATTAAATCCAAACAAATTAACAGAACAAGTATACATACATAAACAACATGCGTGTATAAATGGCAAAAATATATGCAAATGTAGAGAGTGAAAGAGAGAGTACCAAACGGGAAATTCTAGTGAATCTGGAACAGAAGCTCTCTCTCTCTGAGTGCTGAGTGGAGAAAATGGTGAGACTCTGTTTCTTTTTAAATCTTCTGTTCTGTTTCCTAATGATGTTATCCATAATTAAGAAAACATCAAACAGAGAGAGAGAACCATAAATTATATGCAATTGTGGAAACTCAATAGGAATTTGATGAGCAATCAACTCCAACTCAATTCTCGTCAAAGGAAATTAAACCTCGCAAAGCTCCAAACAAATCAACAAAACAAGCATACATACATACATATACAATATGTTTGTATGTATAAATGGGACTATGCAAATGCAGAGAGTGAAAGAGAGTACCAAACGTGAAATTCAACTGAATCTTGAACAGAGTTTCTCTCTCTCTCTCTCTCTCTCTCTCTCTCTCACACACACACACACAGAGCGCTGAGTAGGGAAAATGGTGAGACTCTCTGTTTCTTTTTTAATCGTTTGTAAATAATGATGGGTTCTAGTTTCTCTCTCCTCTTGCTTTTCTTCAGCAGTGAAGTTTGCATCGAAGCTACGCTCGCTTCGCTGGACTCCATGCTGCTCCACACCGTCTCTCTATACAATTAGGACTCTCACTTCCCAAACGCACCTTGTCTTTTGCCTATATTGCGGAATTGCCACTACCCATTTATTTTTTCTTGATTTATTATTTTTTTTTTCAAGAACATTATAGGGACCTAACTATTGCAACCATTACTTTTTAGTTGTGAAGTCTAAGATTTGGTAGAGCTCCTTTTCAATTCAACAATTACAATTGATACCATCTGAGCTGGTATTTAGTGATAAATTGTATCCGTTTAAGGTTATCATTGACTCTAATGTGATAATTACGGTTCGATTCATAAAAATAGTGTTGTTTGTTGTTTGGTTTTGGTAGTGTTATGGTATAGACTATTTTTCTGAGTTAGTAATTATGGCTCAAACCAAACATTTCACAATAGAGAGACTCTCGTGATCTTGCCCAGGGTTTACTATCTACTGGTTGCGCCATTTTTCCTTTTCAATAGCAAAAAAAAAAATCAATACAATTAATTTTTTTTTTTTTAAGGAGAATGGGACTTGAACCTATAACCTCAAGAAGACAAATTATTTACAAGATAAAGAGTATCATTAGACCAAAGACTCATTGGTTAAATTAATTAAATACTTAAATTAGATTCAAATAACATTTTATTTGTTATTTTATTAAATCACAAAAAAATCTCTATTCATGGCCTTACAAATTTAAACACAATGATAATTATTATATTTGATTGTAATAAATGAAAATTGAAATACCTCTCAATTAAATTATTCATTCTACTCTCGACATGGACAATTTGTCTTTAACCAGATTAAGAAGAAAATTAGTGAAAACATGCATAAGTTAGTATAAAACACTTTGATTGTTGAGAAAAAAAAGAGAGAGCAAAGAGAGACAATCAATGTTCATAATGCCAAATAATGCACACGCTACATACGTGTTAAGGAGCATTATTAATAATCAAATGTTAACTTATTTTACTTACTTAAATACAAAATCTTGTATTAGTCTTATTAGGTATAAGAGTAAATCTATCCACGCAATTTTTTTGCGATATTTCTAGCATGCATGCATTGATGTGCATACCACGTGTCTCGTCTCATTATTTGTTTTTATGAATCGAGCTCATCATCTTGTGACATCATTATATGTATGGTGAAAATGTTTTTGAAATAAAAAAATTAAATTATGACTTAAATAATGTAACACTTTTGTAAATCATTTTGACTTAATCCACCGTAACTCACGTAATTCTTGCACATACGAAAGAGTAGGAAATCAATTGTCGTCAAATACAATATAAACCTCACAGATCGAAGCTAGAAAATTTTGATAAAATACGAGACTTAAATTAAAGAAGATTTTAATATAGGGTATACAGGAATAAATTTTAAATGTATAAAAGTGAAACCAACAATACCATTATGATAGTCTTATATCATTTGATCATTTTTTTTTGTCAGGTGTTTAGTACGCAATGAATACCTTTTTCATTTTCGTCACTTTAGAAATGGTCAATTGATTTGAGATAGAATATGAAAATAAAATCTATCATTGACACTTAAAATCTCAAATTTAATATAAAAAATTTAGAGAAATAACAAAGTATTAGTGTTGAGGCTATATACTTTGATTCTAGCTTTATCCGACATACATGATTATAATAAATTTATTTATTTGACACCTACGGTTGATGAAAGAAATCAATTAAAATGGTATTAATATTCTTTTTATAATTAAAAATTTAAAGAATAATCCGAATATTTAGGTTGACATTATCATGATTTGTGAAAATTTAGTTTTGAAAGTGAGACAAAATTCTAGTATATTCAAAAAAAAATGGCAAAACCGAAAATAGAACAAGAATGGGGGTCATTCATTGTGGAGACAAATAGGCAATAGCGATCCCACATTCCCCGCTCGCTCTACCTGCTCACCTTCGTCCGTGCTTTTATTCTTGTCGTTTACCTTTCACTTTCTTTTTAAAATTTTTTTATTTCCAAAAACGAAAAGAAAAAATATGTCACTGCCACGTGCCATGCTCACTTGGCACGTGTGCAGTCACGTGTTTAGTGCCGAAGACTGCGAGCAGTGGCATCTCATTTCAACCTCTTCCCCCGCCTCCCCTTCTCTGTCTTTCCCTCTTTTAGGTCCGTTGGAATAGAAAAAAAAAATTATGACAAATCAAAATGGTAGTAAGTTAAATAAAATAAAAAAAATAATAAAAATATATTTTCATGCATATATTTAGTTAGCATAAAAAAACTTATGAGAAATCTTTAAAAAAATTTCATTCTATTATTTAAAAGAAAGGAAAGTTACAAGAATTTTTTTTTAATTGTATAAATTATTTTTAATTATATTAAATTAGTCTAAAGAAGAAAAAATATATATATTATAATTGAAGTTAAAATAAAAAAAAATAAAAAAAGTAGTTCATAACCTAATTCTAGGATAAGCACCAGAACAAAAGTCTTTGAGCCAAATCATATGATTAACTAAATTCATATTAAGATATTTAAAATTAATAACTAATAAAATATTTTAATTTTAAGAAAAATAAGAGTAAAATAAAAAGTTAATTATAGATCACAACTTTCTTACATTTTTTATAAGAAAAAAAGGTGATTAGTTGTGAGAAAATTTAAGCATGAAAGAAAATTATTTTTCTATCATTTTTGATTTTATGCTAAGCAAACAATTAAAATTTTAAAAAATTTGTCTTTCTTGCATTTTCTATAATTATCACTACCAATGAGCTTTTGGTTCAATAATACTTCTTGTTTTATAAAAGTTTTGCTTTTTTAAAGTGAAGGGATCAAGTCCCCCTCCCATTTCCTCTTCCCTCTCCCCCCAAAAAAAAAAAATAAAATAAAATATTTGGTAGAAGAAATAGAAAATAGGAGTGATGGAAAAAGAAAGGAATATATTTTTAATTCTTTAAGGAATGAAATATATTTTTTCTCCTTCTTGTTCGGTAGAAATGATGGAAAAATATAAAAAAAAATTTCTTTTATTAATTTATTAGGTATGAGAAAAAATTATAAGAAAAATATAACTTTTTAAATTACATTAATACCCTTATGGTTGTATGAAATATACAGTAAAAATAACTCAGGGTCCCACATTGTGTTGGCTTGGCTAGGGAAAAAAAAAATGAGAACCCACCACTTTTGTTTTGTTTCAAAAAGTCGCCACTTTTAAGGGGCATTGTAGTAAATTTAACAATTGCAATCATTTCCCAACACTTCTCTTTCCATTTTCCGCCAAATTTGGGCGGATTACAAGTGGGCGAGAGAGGCACACCTTTTCCATCATATTTTCTTTTCCTCTCCATTTTCCATCCCAACCAAACAAAAGAAAACCTCTCCTTTCCCTCCACTTTCCATTTATCTTTTTTCATCAATCCAATATTCTTTCATACCAAACATAGAGCTAATTTATATATGATTCAAAAACTACTACATTTTCAGGTACAAGGTGGTGGAATGGGTGCCAAACAACCAAACCGTTGTTGGAGTCCAAGAAGAATATGAGACAATCTTGTAAGCGGATTAACCAGTCATTATTAGTACTAGATGAGCTACATATTACAACATTAGATGAACAAGGACTTCATTACATGCATACCACAGTAATGTTTATGAGAACTTCAAACATCAGGTAAACATATTACCTGGAAGCTAATAAATCTTATGGCAAGCTTGTAACAGATTCACTGGTCTACCAACCAAGGGAAAGATAGAGAAGATAACTAATCAAATTCCTCCTATTACATGTCCAAGTATATCTTACACTAGCTAGTTAGCTCTCCCCACAGAAACAATAAAGAAATTCTGCAAAAAGGGTGGATTTTCTCATCAGCAACAGACTAACATATGGCACCCGTACTGACAAAGGACATGCTGGGACATGATTTAAGCTTATACGAACAGGTTGAATTGAACCATAAAGCAACACTAAATGTGTTCTTGTTATAACTACAACTGAAAATGCTAGGCTACTGAGGGCCATCTAAGGCTACTGAGGGCCATCTATGGCTGCAATACTTACCCAAAGAGGAACTCTGGAGAGATTGCTGCAAGTCCAACACTAAATTCACAAAAAATATACATATTGATTACCTCAGAGTTGAACCTCGAACCTCAACTTTGAATGGTGGCTTCTTTAAGTTCTACATATTGAATTTTGGCTGCTAATGGTTTGCAAGCTCCTATTAATTGTTGCTCCTATTTATTTCCTTAAAAGATTAAGGAAAATTTGAAGAAAGATGAATACTAACCAGCTATGATGTCTCAACTTTGATATGGCCCCTTAACAGAATCACTGTAACTGATCAATGGAAGCCAAACTTCCTGCCCGCCCTTCAAAAAGTATCCCACTCCAACACCAAAAATTCCCCTTCCAACAACCCATATAAATAAAAAACAATACAACTGTAAGTTTCAAATCTATCATTGAGAAGCAGTATCATAACTGGGCTACAATAAAATGATTCTGCAACTGCACTGGCACATCCAAGGGACATATACTGCATGGACTCTGAAGGTTGCCACTATAATAGACTGTCAATGATTAGAGAAACATGCCTAACCAATTTACATATAACAATCAATTACAGTAGATTATGATCGACTTCAATATATCCAAAACAAATCCTACATAAAAATAACGATTTTGAGCTTACCATTGTTAATTAGACAACGCCAAACCCAGCACCGTGTAATAGGCTAACAGAAACATTTAATTGCAAGACAAGATGAACCGACCAGAAAAATTGAATACTGAGCTACAATAAGATCCTTTGCCCATCTACTTCATTATATCTAACAAAAAAATTATATTTTTAAGGGGTTGGGACAGTATTACTATCTTTAGCTTATCCAATATAGATGATAGGGCATTTCAAGAACAGGTAATTAAAGCGGTAGACATTTAATACTTTTTAGGCATTGTATAAACCTGTAACATGTAGAGAAAGCAATAACAAAATGGTTCATTGAGCTAACTGGCACAGGTACCCAATACATCGCAAACATCACAAACCCTTTATCAATTTGAGAGCTGGAATCCATTAAAGGACCTACTTCTTAGTGGTCTTCTTCTTTGAATTAGAATTAGCAGACTGCGGCTTCGGATGCTTTTCGGCCTCGCTGGGGTTCAACCAATTGAGAGGGTGACGATTGAAGAAAGGCCAATTGGGAACAGTAATCAGAGAAGTCAAAACAACACCGCCGGCATATATAAGCAGCATGTTCTGAAACGAGCCCATCAGATATCCAATTATGTATGCCACCACCGCAAACATCACCAACATTATCTGCATCAGCTGCTCCGCTAGCTTTTGGCCTTGCCAATCCATATCTACCAAATAAAACAAAAGACAGGGTGTTATACGAACAAATAGAGTAAAAACTCAACTATTAGTCAAAAATAAGAAAGAAAACATAAAAGGAGAGAGAGAGATCTGGTGTTATTTTTGTTACCGACCGTAGTACAAGAACTAATACCAACATTTGCTTCAAAATGCAAATAGAATATATAGGACCAATTGAAATAGAAATGAGAAAACAACAGCATATCAAATCAAATTTAAACAATCAAACTACAAATTTATATAACCCTAGCAACCGCTGATCAGAGAAACAAGTATGTGCATAGTTAATCATACATATAAATACATATACAGATATAAACACACATATATTTATCCTAGAAAATATATCGTAATGGACACGAATACCGTGTAGTATCGAGATCAAAATCAATTGGTGAAGAAACACTGTGTGAGAGTGAGAGAGTGAGAGAGTGAGAGAGAGAGAGAGAGAGAGAGAGAGAGATGGGCATACCTCCAGGTCCACCTTCGTCGCCTGGTTGTTGGGTGTTAAGCGGCGCTCGAGATTCAGCCAAGGAGATGTGTGACAAAGAGATGAACTGCTGAAAGTTAAGGTAGGGCTTCACTCCACCGTGGGTTTCAGTTAATCGGTGTATAAAGATAAAAAAATACTGTACAAACCGGGTCAAGGATGGACCCGAATGTTTTATTTAACATCATTGTTTTTAATGGGTTAATTACATCCGTAATTCCCAAAGTATAAAGTTTGTCTCATTTTAGTTCTTAAAGTATTAAATATATTTTTGTGTGATTGCTCGAGTAAATAGCTTTCAGATTGCTAATAATTTTTTATAATAACTTATCATATAATATCTAAATATGAGGAAATTTGTACGTAATATCTAAATATGAAGAAAAAAATAATTTGTATAACTTTTGACCAAATTTATACTCAAAATTTGGTCAAAAAACTATCTAAATTACATAATTTTGATCATGAGATATCCAAATTTTGGTCAAGAACTAACCATGTTACATATTTTTAGTCGAGAAGTTACCTAAATTTTGGTCAAGAGTTACTTAAATTATTTTTTATCCATATTTAGATATTACGTACAAGTTTATGAGAAAAAAACTGTTAACAAGTTGAATGTTGTCTGCTTGAGGGACCACGTTGAAATATTTTCAATATTCGGGGACTAAAATAATACAATTGAAATATTAGAGATTAAAATGAGATAAACTCTATTTTTTGGGGACCTCCAGTGTAATTAATTCAATAAACAAACCCAAAAACTTGGTTCAATGAAAATTGTAATATAGCCTTAAAATTTGTTATTTTTTTTATTATAAATAAACCTATAAAAACTTGTAATTCAACCCGCAAAACTTATAAATTTTGACAGTTCAGCACCGAAATTTTTTCAGTGGGACCGAGACTTCTCCATTCGCATAGAACAAAGCAGTGCCATCTCCCTGCCCGTTTGAGAATCATGGTGAGCTGGGCCGTGATTGATATGCTTGGCCCACTTAAGTTCTTATATACATTAAGCATTTTAACGTTGAGATATTAATCACCAAGAACAGCCCATTGGGCAATAACAAAGTTGTTGGCCAGAGATTGATTACTTTGGGGCCATAGCACAGTTTTATATTTAGAGTTTGTGGAGGCAGTACACAACTATAGTCTTTTGGGTCAATTAGTTCAGACGCACTTTTTTTTGGTCTTAAAAGACAAATTTATTTCAAAAGTTTTATTTACCCTTATTTCAATAAAAATATAAAATTTAATAATCTATACTAATAAGATAGAGAGAAATTCAAAATTTTCAATTGAAATCAATCCCCCAATTTAGAACAGCAGAACAACGGTTAGGATTTAATTAAAATTTAAATAAATAGTTCAAATTTCATCTAAACTCATTTAATTATATCCGATGGCCCATAATTTATCCCACCCAAATTCATCTTCCCGCCCACTTTAACAACACACAAATGCCATCTAGTTGACCCATCTCATCTCATCCCTTCCCAAGCAAAACCCGTTTGACACAGAGAACTCCTCTGCCATGGCATGGCTATCCTTGAACCCACACATCTTCCACCGTGATGGATGCCGAGTAATTTCAGTCCACAAGAGAAGTTGAGCTATTCCCATGGCCACACAACCTGCAACATTACACTAAGAAATCAAAACCCAGCTGACCCATCCCATCCCAGACGGCCATCTCTCTCTCTCACACACACACACTAAGAACTCCTCTGCCATGGCTAAACTAACATCAAATATCTCATCTATTGCCCAGGTACACCTCTCTCTTGGTCTCTCTCTCTCGACACACAGTGAAAAACACACACAACATCAAACCCACACACACCGGCACGCACAACATATATTGAACCCACACACACATAAATTGATTTGAGTCTTCATTTTGGTTTGAAAATTTTACAAAAGTGAATGTTAAACCCGGTTTCTCCCATATAGGTGAAGTAGTCTAATATTTCTTCTAACGACTTGATCTTGGTAAGTGCCCCCATGTAAGAGTTATCAGAACATGCAACATAAACCCCAAGGTTCTGCTCTGAGAAAGTTGACTAGAAAGTTATTTCAGAGGCATGACGTTAATGGTTGGTTTATTGTTGTTGATTGTTGAATACTATTAATTTTGGTTTTAATTTGAGTGTTTTTTTTTTCAAATAAATTTAACAAATTGAATTTTAAATTATTTTGAATGTTCAATTGGTTTGAATGTTATAATTTGAATTTTTCGAATGTTCAATTAGTTCGAATGTTATAATTTTGGTTTTAATTGTGTTTATTTGGGTGTTAATTTGAGTATTTTTTTTTCAAATAAATTTAACAAATTGAATGTTAAATTGTTTTGAATGTTATAGTTTGGGGTTTTTGAATGTTGAATTGGTTCGAATGTTGTAGTTTTTGTATTAATTGTGTTCATTTGGGTGTTCATTTGAGTTTTTCTTTTTCAAATAAATTTAACAAATTGAATGTTAAATTGATTTGAATGTTATAGTTTTGGTGTTAATTGTGTTCATTTGGGTGTTAATTTGAGTGTTTTTTTTTCAAATAAATTTAACAAATTAGAGGTTAAATTGTTTTGAATGTTCAATTGGTTTGACTGTTATAGTTTGAGTTTTTCGAATGTTCAATTGGTTCGAATGTTGTAGTTTTGGTGTTAATTGTGTTCATTTGGTTGATAATTTGAGTTTTTCTTTTATAAATCTATACTAATAAGATAGAGAGAAATTCAAAATTTTCCAATTGAAATCAACCCCTCAATTTAGAAAAGCAAAACAACGGTTAGGATTTAATTGAAATTTAAATAAATAGTTCAGATTTCATCTAAATTCATTTAAACTCATCCAATGGCCCATAATCTATCCCACCCAAATTCACCCTTCCGCCCACTTTGACGACACACACATGCCACCCAGCTGACCCATCCCAAGCAAAACCCAACTACCCCATCTCTCTGTCGCTCTCTCTCTCTCTCACGACACACACAGTTAAAAACCCACATCTCTCTATCCAATTGTCGATTGCCGATTGCCTCTGCCATGCCGAGTAATTCCAGTCCACAAGAGAAGCTTCCCCATCTCTCTGTCTGATTGCCGGTACACCTCTCTCTCACTCTCTCTCTCATGACACACACAGTCAAAACCCACACACACCAGTTTCAACATATCACGCACACACAGAAGGGGTATTACTTATTTTCTTTTCTTTTTTTTCTGTTGGAACTGAAAAATATAGTTGAGGCAAACTACATTCAATGTTATTGTTTTTTTTTATGCAAATTGGAATGTTATGGTTTGGGTTTTGGTGCTTAATATTTGTGAAATTGGAAGTTGGGTTTTAAAATTGAATGTTAGGGTATTTTGATTGAAATATGGTTTTAGTTTTTTGATTGAATGAATTATTTTGATTGAGATTTGGAATTACTTTTATGAAATAACGTTAGAGTTTTGTTAATCATATGAAATGGAATGTTAATTAATTTGAAATGTTATGGTTTTGGTTTTGTTGGGTTTTTGATTAAATTAAAATGTTGTGGTTTTGTTTTTTTTTTTTGTTTTTCCAATTGGGTTTTGATGATTAATGTTTGTGAACTTGGAAGTTGGGTTTGCTATTGAACTTTAGGGTTTAAAAATTGAAAGTTAGGATTACTTTGATTGAAATTGAGTGTTACTTTCACCAATTTCAAAAGTTTTCAATTGAAATCAATCCTCCTAATTTAGAAAAGTAAAAGAACGGTTCAGATCTCATCTAAATTCATCTAATTAAATCCAATGGTTCACAATCCATTCCACCCAAATATATCCTCCTGCCCACTATACCTACACACACGCCACCCATTTTTTTTTTTATCAATATTCCACCCAATTCAAACGTCTTTCTCTCTCTCTCTCTTGCTCCTCCCAATTCAAACATCTCTCTCTCTCTCTCTTGCTCCTCTGCCATGGAAGCCGCTAGGGTACCCCCTCTCTCTATCTCTCGCTCCTCTGCCATGGAAGACGCTAGGTACCCCCCTCTTTCTCTCTCTCAGGAACGAGCCCAAGTAACTTCCTCTCTCTCTTCGCACACACACACAATACATACACACAACACACACATGTTCGAACACACACACACACACAAGCAGTAATACACATATATCAGAGAGAGAGAGAGAGGTAGTAGATACACACACACAGAGACAATCACTTACACACACCACACAGTCATATTCACACACACACAAACAACAAGCACACATATTTTAAAGCAATTTTTTGGATGTTAATTTGGGTGTTCAAATTAGTGGCTAATTTTCAAATTGGGGTTTCCATGACATCGTGTTTGTTACATTTCAAATTAGTGGCTACTCTAATGGTTTTTAAATTGAATGTTTGGTTTATTTTGGATTGCGATTGGGTTTTATTAATTTGGAATGTTATGGTTTGGGTTTGTTATGAAATTGGAATGTTATCTTTTTTTTTATGCAAATTGGGTGTTAATTTTATAACATAGGGTTTTGGTGCTTAATATTTGTGAAATTGGAAGTTGGTTTTAGTTTTTTGATTGAATGAATTATTTTGATTGAGATTTGGTGTTACTTTCATGAAATAGCATTAGAGTTTTGTTAATCATATGAAATGGAATGTTATGGTTTTTTTTTTTTAACAATCGATTGGGTTCTAATTTTATAACATAGGGTATTGGTGATTAATGTTTGTGAACTTGGAAGTTGGGTTTGCTATTGAACTTTAGGGTTTAAATATTGAATGTGAGGATTACTTTGACTGAAATTGAGTGTTACTTTAATACTTTAATGAAATAGGGTTTTCTTAGTTGCATGAAATAGAATGTTGCGTTGATGATTATTGAGGATTAAATTGATGAAATAGGATTACTTTGATTGTTATTGTTATTTTGATTGAAATTATAAGTTGCGTCAACCAATCCACCAACGACCCTCTAGCACCCCAAGAACACCAGCAATGTCTACCATCCTATGAGGTATTTATCTCTCTCTTTTCCCTACACAAATCCTCTTCGATCTCTCAGCCACCCACCCACACACTCACTCACCAACCAATCCATAATTGATGCAAAAACCCTACACGCAAGCCACCACTCTTTAGTTGGGTCTGCCTTTTGTTGAATTTAGTTATTTTCGCTTAATTTTATGTCCTTTGTTGGTATTTGGTAATTTTGATTTTTGATTCCTATGTTGTTTGGTTACTGGGAAAACTTATGAAGTCTATTTTTTTATTTTGGTTTTTTATCCATTTTTGGTATATGAATGCAACACTAAATGAGGAGGGAGAGAGAGATAACACTTTTTTTAGTCAATTATTTATTTTTCAAAACTAAAAGTTTGTAAAACAATTTTAGTGGGTGTTAATTTTAGTGTTTTTTTGAATAAGTTTTGTTATAGCTTTAATGTTATAGTTTGACTGTTATAGATTTGGTGTTTTCAAATTTTAAATTGGTTTCGACTATTAGTTTTGTTAGTCGAAACCAATTCATATAATTTAGCAATTTCAAATGCTAAATGTTAAATTAGTTTTGTTAGCTTTAGATTAGTGTCAAATAATGAAGCTTTCGTGTCATTTTTTTTATTAGCATTTTCTTACATTATCTGCATTATTTTTTTTATTAAAGGAGGAAAAAATATCAAATTCATTAACGAATGTTAGATCTAAGGGGAAAGAAAAAGCTACAGTTTGTCAATTAGTATGACTTTGCATCCTATTTTTTCTCTATGGTTTTATGTGCATAAAGATGTTTATGATTTTTTTTTTAATTTTGTTAGCTTCAAATTAGTGCAAATAATGAAGCTTTTATGTCAATTTTGGATCCTTAATGATGTTTACTTCATTTACATGACACCTACAAAAATTATGAGTTGTACACACAGTTTAGTATTGCCAATTGGATGAGTTTTCAAAATGAAGTTTTGTCAAAATTGGTTTAAAGATAACAACCTGTGTGTATCAGCTTTGGGAATGTTGTTGTATTTTAACAATTATATTTGCATCAAACAAATTTATATTGTTTTTCTAAAGACTTGAAATTCCCCATACATACATATATCATTTTCATTTGATCCATTGAGAATAAATTTGACACAATGACTGACTAAGGCAAAATTTATCAACCATCTATTATGATAAAGATCTATGCATAACCTTTACTTTGGTCACCCCTAAGAAGAATTAGAGCACATGTTTAATGTAAATTCTCATTAAATTAAGATTTCATGTGTTTGTGTGAGAGAGAGAATTCTCATTAAATCACATTTCGGGCTCTCTATAAGTGTGTTTTGGTCCACTATATATTTTCTTTTACTTGATTTTGGTCCACTATAGAATTTTTTTCAACTGAAGTTTTTAATCTATTTTGGTATATGAATGCAACACTAATCTATTTTTAACACTCAATTTTTTTAGTCAATTTTTTTTATCAATTTTGCATTCTAACGTTGGGTGTTAGTTTGAGTGTTTTTTTCAAATAAGTTTGATAAGTTTTGGAATAGCTTTAATATTATAGTTTGAGTGTTTTCGACTGTTATATTTTTGTTTATTCCACTTACATGACAAACCCAATTTTTTTCTTAGCGTTTTCTTACATTATATGTATGTTTTTTTTAT